AGTGGTTGGGTATGGCCCTGGAGTGATTGTGGGAGGTTGCTTGTGTTCTTGTACAAAGGATAAGTCAACACTCCACCTAAATAACTTACCCACCATATTTTATTCTTAATAAAGATTTCTATGAAAATGTGTTTAGATTATGGAAATATGGGGTCTTATATGTCAAAATATAAGTTTGGGTGAAAATCCCGCGTTAAAATCACAAAAAACGGGCTTAAAACGCGAAAATGGTCAAAAACTGGGAAAAGCAAGTGAATCAGCGAAGATCCGGACGAAGGATCGAAGTTTGGTCCTTTAAGCTTAGAACCGAGAGAAGGGTTCGGTTGTGAGGTGAGAACCGAGAAAGAGGTTTGGTCAGACAAATTCGCAGGCGAGGAACCGAACGCAGAAGTAAGGAGGTGAAGGTGAAGGTTCAGTTCGAAAGGGGGGTTCTCGGTTCGCTTGGTTCGGCTTCGGCTTATGCGAGTTTCGGCTCTAGCAAGTTCGGTTTTGACAATGCTCGGTTCTGACAGTCTCGGTTCCAAGGGTTTCGACTCCTTAAGGAGGTTCGGTTCCTTGGGGTCTCGGCTCCTTTGGGAGGTTTGGTTCCTTGGGCCCTCGCCTCTTAGGGAGGTGTGGTTCCTTGGAGTCTCGACTCCTTAGGGAGGTTCGGTCCTAAGAGGGTTTGGCTCTAAGAGGCTGTTCTTCACGTTAAGTCTCTGTTTTGTGTAGTTTTTGGCTAAGTTAAGGGTCGGGATGACTCGGATGACTATAAAAATTTGAGAGAGATTTCACATACATGAAGAGATTTGGGAGAGGTTTCACATACTTAGAGAGATTTGGGAGAGGTTTCACAAACTTAGAGAGATTTGGGATAGGTTTCATATACTTAGAGATATTTGGGAGAGTTTTCACATACTTAGAGAGATTTGGGAGAGGTTTCACATACTTAGAGAGATTTGGGAGAGGTTTCATATACACGAAGAGATTTGGGAGAGGTTTGATATACTTAGATAGATTTGGGAGAGAGAAAGATAGACAGGGAGAGATTGAGAGAGACTTTGTTTGTGACCTTTTTGGGTGTTTAGCTTTGCAACGCAAGGTTCGTACACCCCGTTAAGCTTCGTTATGATAGTTAGATGCCCCCGAAGGGTATAGAATAATATTTTATCGAATAGTTTCATCACTTACCCCTATTAGGGTTTAGAATTTATAAACGAATAAACTTTCCAAGCGATGACTTCTTTTTAAAATAGTGAGTTGTACAATAGTAACATAGTGTAAACCCTAATGTACAAGGGTTAGATGAGTTGGCCGGTTGACTTTGGTTGACTTTGACTTGATCGGAAATTGATGGTTGTCACAAAAATAAATTACATACATATGTGTGCATATTAGAAGATTATCAAGAGAAGAAACTATAAAAGTTTATAGTGGAATTGAACATCGTGGTTAAACCCGGGCAGTTATATAATTGTATTGGGGGTAAATATAGCCTGATCAACTACATTTATTCAAAATACGACCAACATGTGCTTGGGAGTGATCATGGTGAGCAATAAATCTAAAACTTACCAACATTGTATCCAAAAGTTTAAAGGAACCAAACCTAAATAAGTAAAATACTATATGAGTATTTTAGGATATGATATAAGCATCGTACGTACACTTTCTAGACTTTTATCACACCTCCATTCTCGCGCACGCACCATGGCTGAGTTTCAGCAAGGCGACCTCTACTACCAGGCCCTAGTGGCCCACGAGTGGATTGATGAAGAACCAACAGTGGTTCAAGGGGGAGACCCAGGGATAGGACTCGAAGAATATCAAGAAATGGACTATGTAGATGAGAGATTTGATGAGGAGACAGATGAGGAAGAGGGAATTGGAGAAATTCCTAGAGAACCCCACCCTTTAGAAGTAATACGGGATCAACACATAACACTGGAAGACTCCACTGACTAGCTATGCTTCTTAGAGGAGGAGGTAGCCACTCTCAGGCAACAACTCTTTGCAGCCGAAGCTAGGTCAGTTCGAGCTGAGCAAAAGGAAGCTGAGATCACTCGGGAGATGAGTGAATTGGCTGAACTTCTGGTGCATCATTTCGGCACCTGGGTACCACCACCACAATTGACATGGCTCTCTTTTAATGTATTGTTGTATGTAGGACCGACTTTATGATTAAGTGACTACATTACTTATAGAGTCGTTATGCTGGTAGATTTCATTTTCTCTATGTAGGGTACGCCTTTCTAAAGGCAAATTTTCATGTATTGTATTACGAAGTTTATCCTTAATGAAACAATTTGTGTTTTATTTGTGATGTTGTTATCTATTGTGTTTTCTATTTTCATTATTTATTAATATTATATGATTTCACTTATAAGTACAACCGAACCACTACCACCGCTAGATAATAAAGGAATTCGGAGCCAAAAACTATCATATACTCATCATCCTTCTACTCAATAATAGCAGATGCCTCGAAGGTACGTGCACAAGAAAAACAACACGCAACCACCGCCGAAGGTAAACTCTGTTGCATTCCAGGCAGCAGTATCGGTTGCAGTTACTGCAACATTGGCTCACATCCACAATGGAAACAATTGAGGCAGAAATGGTCAGGGAACAGGAAGCTCTAACCATGGACACAATCAAGGACCTGCAAAAACATGCACCTATAAAGACTTTTCTAATGCGAAGCGTAGAACATTCAACAGAATCGGAGGGGTGATAACTCTAAAACGATGGATTGAGAAGACAGAGTCCATCTTTGAAATATGTTTTGATGTTTCAAGATTGGAAATGATCCATCAAATCTGTTTTGATGTGAGTCTGAGTATGCGGGTTGGTTCGCCTTAGGTTATAAAGGTAAACATGCAAGTTGTTAAAACTTTCTTCATGGTCACTGTCAGAGAAACTCATTTCGAATCACTTGTAAGAGACAATTACCAATTACTTAGTGTGCCTAAGGTTGTGGAGGTAAGGGCCTTACCACATGTGGACACATATATATGTAGGAGCTGTAAAGGCAAGGTCCATAATATATTGTCTTTTCGAACAGTATATTTGTCGTTTCAAACAGTATCTCCGTGTAAGGTATCTGATAATTGGACTACTCATTAACATTATTTGGCTACTGTTTCATATACTTTGAGTACTGCTTCGTAGCCTGCATAATGTATTGTCTTTTCAAACAGTATATTTGACGTTTAAAATAGTATCTTCGTGTAAGGTATTTGACAACTGGACTACTCTTTAACAATTATGTGACTACGGTTTTTATAGACTTTGACTACTGCTTTGTAGCCTGCATAAAGTATTGTCATTTCCAATAGTAGATTTGTCATTTCAAACAGTATCTCCGTGTAAGGTATTTGACAATTGGACTACTCTTTGACATTATTTGACTACAGTTTCATAGACTTTGACTACTGCTATGTAGCCTAATTGTTTATCAGTCTTTTTTCTTATTTAAGTACTCCTATAAAATTAAAACAAACTAACAAACAAATTTAAAAAATGGCCTCCAATCAACACCAGTATTGGCATCTTTCTTGCAAATCTTGACATTGAATTTATCGAATCTTCACTATTTGATGTCATAAGAAAATACCGATTCCCAGGAAAATGTGCCCTTGCCTATCTTTCTAGATTGATGTTTTGTAGGTATTCCCATACACGAGCATTTACCTTTTTAATTTTTTTCATCCCATTATCAAAATTTTTAATAGTATAGGCTTTGCATGTCTCCCAAAATAATGCGTGTATTGTATTGTTGCTTCCAAATTTTGCTGAAATGTTGAAATACAAATGGATACCACATATTCCATGATGGGCGTGAGGAAATATATTTGCAATTGACATCGCTATGGATGGAGCCCTATCAGATATGAATGTAAGATCTTCCACGTTGCCTATATATTCACGTAGTTTTCGAAGGAACCAGGACAATGTCTCCGTACATTCACTTTTGCATATGGCATAAGCAACAGACATGATTTGGTTTTGACCGTCCATTGTCACTGCAAGCAACATCGTACCCTTGAATTCACCCTTTAGGTGACTACCATCAATTATTAGGGTCGGCCTACAATATTTGATGAATGCTTGTACCTGCAATTATTTTTTATGGCATTAATAAATACCAATTAGGATTCATATGTTATATTTGTTATAAAAAATTATCACTGCTTACCGAGTAACCCAACACGATATACACGAACTCAAACCGATCATCATCATCTTTTCTTATCTGAGTAACAGCACCTGGATTATGTTTGACCAAGCTGTGCAGATATGCTGGTAGTTTGGTGAATGAATCCTCTTTGGTACCTCTTAACATCAACAACGCATATTGTTTTGCTCTCCACGCCTGTTGGTAAGAGATACTGATTGGAAATTTCAAATTTATGTCCCTCACAATTTCATTACCCTGATAAACTCTATTATAATCTCCGGCCAATACTTCAGCGATAAAGTGGCCAAGTACCTTCTTTGATTATCGATGATTAGATTCGAAGTTTGTTGCACAACAAGTATGTTGGTCAACAACTTTTGTGACTTGGAAAGCAGTAGTCGATTTGATTCCCCTTACCCTAACCATCCAAGAGCAATTTTATACCAAACAAACCACCTCTAATCTCTCTTTGCTCGATCTAGTAGTCTTATACTGCTTACCTTCTTCCATGCATTGTCTTCCAATTGCAAGCTTGAACAACTCTTTGTCATAAAAAATTTCTAGAACCTTAATCTCTTCATTTATATCCAGCCTCTAACCTGGAATGTTCACATCATTGTTTACAGGACACGAAGGCAATGTAGGAATACCATGAAACATGGTATCTAAATAAATAATTTTAGGTTCATCATCAAATTCTTCTCCGTTAGAATCACACTCTAGGCTAGATATATCCAACCTGTCACATAATCCGCAAACTCGCCATATCCTTTTAGTTCACCATCATGCACAAATGGAACTTCTTGTTTTCCATATTCATTACCAACCTTATCCACCACGTCTAGTGCTTTTTTTGGTCAAAGTAATGATTTACACTAACATCATTAACATATGTCCCAACATCATTATCACTATTTTCAGCGACACTATGATATTGACTTTTACTTGGACTTTTAATATTACTAATTGAGTTGTTGCTCCCTTTTCCACTTGATAAATTAGCTGTAGATGTCTTTCCTTTATCATCCACTTCGTTACGCGATACACCTTCTTCAACCACCACATAGACATACACAGATTTATCTCCAACGTTATTTATTACCTTGATCAGCATTCTAATATCACGATCATCAACAATACCACAATAATAGAGTTCTTCTGGATGTTGATAAGCCAAACTGACTTTTGATTCTTCGGAAAGACCCATCTTGCACTTCACCAAATGAACAAATTCGGTTTATGTGGTGGTTTCGTAAAATTCAACACCAAAATAAAACATTTTGGGATTGTATTCGGGTGGCCAAACATATGATAATTGGGAATTAACAAAATCCCATCTTCCATCCGTAATGATCAATACGAAATACTCGTTACAACTCATTAAGTTAATTTTGAGAATAAAGAAGCTAGAGAGGAGTGCAGTTTTCAAAATACGAAATACTTAATGTGTATATATATATATATATATATATATATATATATATATATATATATATATATATATATATATATAGAGAGAGAGAGAGAGAGAGAGAGAGTCAAGGTCAAATAAGAAGGAAATTTTTGGTAGGAAGGTAAGAAGTTTTTTTCTATATACTTTTTTTGCGAACAAACAAAATGAATCATTAGATGATTCATTTGTAAGATTATTCACAAGAAAAAATTCTCAAAAAACATCTAGATTATTCATTTATATAATGATTTTGTTGTTATTCACTAAAATTGTCATAAAAGTGAATTTTTTCTTAATTTACTTAAAAATGAATCATAAAGATGTTTTTTTGAGAATTTTTTCTTGTGAATCATCTTACAAATGAATCATCTAGTGATTCATTTTTTTTGTTCGTCAAAAAACTATGTTATTAAAAAACTTCTTACCTTCCTACCAAAAAAAATTCTTACCGGATCTATATCCTATATATATATATATATATATATATATATATATATATATATATATATATATATATATATATATATATAGGGTAGGTTCAAAATGTTAATCCACTCTGACAAAAAATTAATCAAGTCTAACAAAACAGTAGTCCACCCTGATAAAAAAGTAGTCAAGTTTTACAAAACAATAGTTCACTCTGATAAAAAAGTAGTTAAGCTTAGCAAAACTATTTTTTATATTTTACAAAACATATTTTTTAACAAAATAATTATCAAAAAACAACTCTACATTTTATAAACAATATAATTGTTAAAATAATTCCACATCTTATAAACAATCTTTTTAATATTGTATATCACAAAAAGAATACGGTTTTTTTAGGTCTAATGTTTTGAATTCTAAAAAATTTTTAACAAAATAATTGTTAAAATAATTCTATATCTTATAAAAAAAAATTTAAAATTTTAAAAATAAACAAATTAAAACAATATATTTTTTCACAAAACAGTAGTCAAAACCCCAAAAAATGTAGATTAAAAAAAAAAACCGTATTTTTCCCCCAAAACCGTAGGCTACAGTTTGGGATACCGTAGCTTAACCGAGAGGAAAGCGTAGGTTTTCCAAAACCTACGGTTTTTTATGTTACAAATGAAAAAAAAAAATTATACAAAACAAGAAACAGTAGACGATTCTGCGAAACAGTAGACGATTTTAGAAACATACGGTTTCGTGGGCTATATTTGAACTTTTACTAATTTTTGGTTAAAAATTGATAATTACTTTCTTAATTTGGTTAGATAGTAATTATCTTTAAAAACCATATATAATATTTAACAATAGGTTAGATTATCGACTAAAAAAAATATATAAAATAAATAAAAATACTGTTCATCATGTCTAAGCGCATTCATGAATCATAAAGGTTATATAATTAACATGACTGTGGTAGGTAGCAAATTTTCAAAGAAAACTGAATTTGTTGAGCACGTTTCTTGGTTTCCTAATAAATTTCGATTTATTTAATGTATGAAAAAGTATAAGTGTATAACATGCGTAAATTGAGAAAATAATTTTTAGAACAGTTATTGTAATTCTAAAACAATTATAATGAAATCCTAATCAGAGGTGTATATAGAACGGTTTGGTTCGATTATTGGTCAAAACCAATAGTTAACGATTTTAGTTGGTTAATGATTATAGTTAATAGTTAATATTGATTAAACATTATTGTCCACAATGACATAAAAATAATAATATTTTTCTATAATAATTGAAAAACATAAAGTCTATTGCTATATAAACAATGAATGATTATATATATATATATATATATATATATATATATATATATATATATATATATATATATATATATATATATATATATATATATATATATATATATATATATATGCTTGTATTGATAGAATATTAAAAATATTTATTAATATTATTGGTTCGGTTCATTTATAGTGATTCAGTTTTAGATAAAATCTATAACTAAATTATATGTATTCGGTAAATTAAAATTAAAAGCAACACCATAATTTTTAGCAATGATTCGGTTAAATTGGTTATGGTTCGATTCTTGGGTTAACATGCTCACCTCCTAATATAGGTAAAAAATGCCTAAATTTTAAGATGACAAAATTACAAAAATGATCCTTATGGTTTGTCAAAAGTCACAAAATCAGTCCCTGCTAATTTTTTTTGATGAACATGGTCCCTGTGGTTTCCAAAACTTGCATCAATGGCCCTTTTTGCTGACACCGTTACTGTTCATCCGTTAGTGTAAGGGTATTTTGATCTTTTCAAGTACAAGGGACTGGGTTTGTGACTATGGGTAAACCATAGGGACAATTTATGTATTTTTTTTCTATATTTTATGTTTATGAGTTTGTGACTTTTCCACCCATTTACTTTTTAAAATATCACTTTGAACTTTGAAAAATGTTACTTTCACCCCTCTATTTTCTAAATTTTCGTGTTTAACCCCGTATTATATATAATTTGTTTTTTATTAATAGCTTTTGTTCGCTAACCTAAAAAAACTATTTTTACGTGTTTATTTTCATATATTTGTCGGTATAATTCAAGGTAATCAACGTTTCGATTATAATTTATAACTTTCTTTCGTTATTTTTTTAAAGTTACATGGTTTTTTTTTATAAAATTGTCGTTTTAAATTCGAGTTTATTTTCGACGTAGGTTTTTTTTTTTTTTTTTTTTTTTTTTTATGTACGTTTCCTACGTATGAGACATGTCATATATAATAACTTTCGTTTGTTAATTTTAAAAAATATATTATATTCGAGATTGTCTATGTTTTGATGTATTTTTTATACATATTGTGCTTAATTTTATATATATTCCTACGTCTCATTCGGGTCATATATAATAACTTTCGTTTGTTAGCTTAAAAAAATGTAGTATATTCGAGTTTGTCTATGTTTCGATCTAAATTTTGTTTCATGTTTTTTACGTATCAATATAGATTCGAGTTCGTCTATATTTCAACGTAATTTTTTTTATGTTTCGTGCTTATTTTTATGTACGTGTTTTTTTTCATTCATGTTTTTTTACGTCGAAATGCAACTTTTATGACTATAATCACCAAAAATCAATTTACAAAATTCAAGCTTATAATTACGCTTTTATCTATTATATCTGAACAAACTTATACGTATGAACATACATAAAATAAGCACCAAAACGTACAAAAAAATTAAATCAAAACATAAAAAATAAAGAAAAAGAAAAAACTCAAATTTATATCAGCACATGCATAAAAATAAGTAAGATTTTTTTAAGTTAACGAACGAAAATTTAAATAATAAAAAATATATAATATGTGACCCTAATCATAAGTAGGAAACGTTCAGAAAGTAAAGCACGTAAACGTTAAAAAAATATGTTTTGCAAAACGTTTTGGTGCTTATTTTATGTATGTTTCTACGTATAAGTTTGTTCACATATAATAGATAAAAGCGTAATTATAAGCTTGAATTTTGTATGTTGAATTTTGGTGATTATAGTCATAAAAGTTGCATTTCGACGTAAAAAAACATGAATGAAAAAAATACATACATAAAAATAAGCACGAAACATAAAAAAAATTACGTCGAAATATAGACGAACTCGAATCTATATTGATACGTAAAAAACATGAAACAAAATTTAGGTTGAAACATAGACAAACTCGAATATACTACATTTTTTTAAGCTAACAAACAAAAATTATTATATATGACCCAAATGATACGTAGGAATGTATATAAAAGTAAGCACAAAATGTATAAAAAATACATCAAAACATAGACAATCTCGAATATAATATATTTTTTTAAATTAACAAACGAAAGTTATTATATATGACCCGTCTCATACGTAGGAAACGTACATAAAGTTATTAAAAAAAAAAAAAAAAAACTACGTCGAAAAATAAGCTTGAATTTAAACCGACAACTTTATAAAAAAAAACATGTAACTTTAAAAAAAAATAACGAAAGAAAGTTCTAAATTATAGTCGAAACGTTGATCACCTTGAATTATACCGACAAATATATGAAAATAAACACGTAAACATAGTTTTTTTAGATTAGCGAACAAAAGGTATTAATAAAAAACAAATTATATATGATACGAGGTTAAACACGAAAATTTAGAAAATAAAGAGGTGAAAGTAACATTTTTCAAAGTTCAAAGTGAAGGGTTCAAAGTGATATTTTAAAAAGTAAATAGGTGGAAAAGTCACAAACTTATAAACATAAAATATAGAAAAAAAAATACATAAATGGTCCCTATGGTTTACCCATAGTGACAAACCCAGTCCCTCGTACTTGAAAAGACCAAAATACCCTTATACTAACGGATGATGTCAGCAAAAAGGGCCATTGATGCAAGTTTTGGAAACCACAGGGATCATGTTCGTCAAAAAAAATTAACAGGGATTAACTTTGTGACTTTTGACAAACCATAGGGACCATTTTTGTAATTTTGTCTCTTAAGATTTATAAAAATTGTTAAATAATTCAATATCAAATGAGAATTAACCGTGTAAAATACTAAGGACCCTAAACGTTGTCATCTGTTCATGACAACTACTTTAAAAAATCAAACAAGGTGGAGGCAAGTCAATGCTATTTGTTTACACATATTTGTTGATATCAAACACAACGTTAGTTAATAACATATGATATTTGTTTAATTATAAAGGAATCTTTAATTCTTGATACTTCGTTTTTTTGTGAGCGTAAATTCTTGAACGGCTTTGTTGTGTTCATTTAGAATCTTTTCTTTTATCTTTTTCA